AACAGGCTATGGAGCAGTGGAGATAACGGTGACCCCTGTGGTACTCCAGCCTGTATCGATTTTACTGAAGAGGTTGAATTGTTCACTTTGACTTGGAACGACCTTTCATTTAAGAAACTGCCTATGAGCTTGATGATAAATGGTGGAAAGTTCTGAGCAGCCATTTTCACAATTAGGCCCGAGTGCCAGACTTTGTCAAAGGCTTTAGCGACATCAAAAGAGATAAGACCAGTCGACATCCTTCTTCTAAGTGCAGATTGTATATGTTGTGCTATTTTGGCCAATTGTAGTTCCGTTGAGTGGTTGTCTCTGAAGCCAAATTGCTCATCAGGGATAATATTATTCGAGCTTAGGTGGTCTTTCAATTTTGCCAGAATGACTCTTTCTGCTACTTTCCCTAGAGTAGGAAGTAAGCTGATGGGACGCCAATTCTGTGGGAACTTCAGGTCTTTGTTTGGTTTAGGAAGCATAATGACCTTCGCTTTTTTCCAACAAATAGGGAAGTACCCAAATTTAAGAATTGCATTGGTTATTTCCGCTACTTTGATGAGGACGTTTTCTGGAAGGTTTTGAAGACAGATATTGCCGATACCATCATAACCCGGGGCAGAACGTTTGTTGAGATTACTTATTATTAATGCTATTTCACAGTGAAAAAATATACAGGTAAAAAATTTCTTCGTTTGAAGAATTTTTAAAATTTGTGATTGAATTTCACGAGGACTAGATTTGCTAGTGAAAAACAGTTGACAAATTTTTCGTTTGCGAAAGTATTTTACTGAATGTCTGCTTTCATTATAAAAGTCTGTGTTAGAATACACAATAGAACTATATTAAAAAAATATATTAAATATTGAATATTGTACGCTACTTGATGCTAACCCAGATCCTTAATCTGTGTTAGCTTGGTAGCCAATTTTTATGTGTAATGTAGTTTGAGCACTTGTAACCCAAACTACTTGTATTTTCTATTTTGATTAGTTTGAGCACTTGAAACCCAAACTAACCGATGCGAGAAAGTAAGAAAGTTATAATTGATTTTTCTTTTCCTTCTGAACTTTATTAAAATTATTTCTTATATTTATACAAAATTATTTAATTAACAAGCTATTAAATTATGCATTAATTGACAATAAATATTAATGCATAATTCACAAATAAATAAATTTGCCTACGCTGTGCTGACATAATTATAGGCCAACATATTACACACTTTCTTCAGTGCATTGACCAACAAGAAACGCTGATAATGCAAAATTGCACTTTTCGTTGGTCAATGACTGGTCGCAGTGTTGGCCCAAATAATATGTAAACACATGTAACCAAATATCATAAAAAATAAAAATATAAAATAATATGAATTAAATGCAAACATAAACATTCTCCCCGCCGTTGAGTGCCAACTCAACTTGTCCTAGGTTGTGGTCACAGTGAAGTCCAAATTTTGTTGACGTAATTCTGCATTTTGCATATCATTTCCTCGTGTTGAAATTTCGCTTATTGTGTGTTTCTGACATCTGTTGTGTTTGGTTTTCCAAGTAATGATTATGATTATTGTTATAGAAATCAACAACGCCAAATAACTTATCGTATGATGATGAATACTGTTTAGTCGCACTCTAGAGGGAAGATATGTCAAATTTTCCTTAGTTAGCCGATTTTGCAATTCTGTCAGTTCCTTGAGTTGTGTTTTTACATCATTTGGTGTTGTATTGAAGATTTTCTGCATCTCATTAATGTGTACAACTGTTGATAAGTTTCCAAATCGTGGAAATGACGTGGATACAGTGCTGGAGATAAAATAGTGGCCATGTATAGTTATTTCTGCGTTTTTAATGATGCACGTAGGTCCAAATGTAAGCATTCCGGATCCTATCAGTGAGAACTGACTTAAGTAGGTCTCACAACTAGCTGACATCAATGTTTCGAATTTTGTTGCGTATAGCCACTGGTTCGGGTTGTGTAGTTGTTTCAATGCAATATTTCCTTGAAGTTTTATTATATTGCATGTTGTTGACTGATTACCATTAAATAGATTAATTTCACATGAATGTACTGATGATGCTATACCTAGTCTTGTTTGTTTATTAGCGCAAAGGTATATATTATCCTTGGTTAAAAAACATTCCCGTAATTCATGGTCATCAAATGGAATGTACTGATCTCGAACAGTATTGGTTGCCAAGTACTCCACTTCAGTTTTGATAATTATCATAGTTTTGTTTATTACAACCGGTATCGGTGTTGTCTTGAACAATTCAAATTGCTGCTTGTCTAGCAGTGGTAGTTGTATTAAAAATAATACATGCTGATTTTTAATTGTTGACTTCACTTTCATTAGCTTGTAAAAATCGGTCAAATTGTCTTCTGTGAACGGTAGTGTACGCGATGATGGTAAGTGGCCTTTGATTCTGTTGATCTCCTTTGTTAATTGATCAGGAGTTAATAGCAGTGGACTGATTTTCCCATGATGTGTGTCTGTAAGCACATCAATTATCTCCGACTGGATGTGTTGAAGATTGGATACCATTAATGTGAGTTCTGCAGATAATGAAAGTAGTAATTGAGTGACATGTATTTGTTCTGTTGTAGTTCCAATTCTATTCAGAAACTCATCAACCTGCTTTTGCAAATGATTCATTCGGAACTGCATGGTAACTTCATCTCGTTTGATTATATTTATTGTGGAATCTATAATAGATGTTTGATTATGAATTAACTGCATTGCATAATCATCTCTACTGTTAAGTTGGTTTATTGTGTCAGACATGCTCTCAGCGTAGTCTGAATCAAGCACTCCGAATAAGGTGTGTGCAATATTTCCTACTATGTTAATTGCAGCTCGCTTGTTCCGGCTTTTATATAATAATGTTTGGTCTTGCAACAATTCATCTCTTGCATGTTTAAAATGAGTATAGAGAGAAGTACATGCTGTATGTGCTTGCAATTCTGAACATAAACGTTTGATAGTTTTAGTCCCGTTGTTGAAGGAGTCCATTTCGGTCCAATATGGATGAAGATCATAGTAAACAATCATTTTCCATTCCGCCGTTGCTACTTTCATCAAACCAATGGATTCAACGTATATTCCTAAGTTATTGTCGAAACGTGTTACATTCACTGAATTCCCTAATACCAATGGCAGGAATAATAGAGATAATAACATTGTGCACAGTAATGAATTAGACATTGGCCGTGAATACTTTTTAGGTGGCTCGTCTTGATCTGCGCCTTCGTGTGGTGTTTTCGAATTCGCTTTTGTAAAACTTTTTGAAAGTTGTTCATCAGAAGCAAGAGATTGTTCATCGGATGGAAACAGAGGCGCTAGTCTTGTCAAAGGACGTCTTAGAGTTCCTGATGCCATTCTAACATCAACCACGCGAACTAGACCGTCAACTCCCTTATATACCTTTGCAATACGTCCAAGCGGCCATTTTAATGTAGGAACATTATCTTCCTTGATGATTACAAGAGTACCTTCTTTTATATTTGGATTGGCTGCTTTCCATTTGTGTCGACATTGTAGTTCAGTGAGGTACTCGGTTTTCCAACGTTCCCAAAAGTCCAATTTGAGGCGAGAGACTAATTTCCATCTTGTCACCAAATTTATATTTCCTGATTGGGCCTTTGCATCTGCCATTGCTGTGAGTGGTTCTCCGATTAAGAAATGACCAGGTGTTAGTGCTGACAAGTCATTCGGATTACTTGACATAGGTGTCAATGGTCGAGAGTTCAGTATTGCTTCGACTTCTAGTACCACAGTCTCTAGTTCCTCATATGTTAGTGACGTGGTCTTAGTACTTCGTATCAATAGGTGTTTTGCTGATTTGACTGCTGCTTCCCACAGTCCACCGAAGTGTGGTGCACGAGGAGGTATAAATTTAAATGTTATTCCTCTTTCATTACATTCGTTAATTATCTTCTCTTGTGCCTTACTTGTTTGAATTGAGTCTGCAAGTTCAAGTAATTGATTACTTGCTCCGACGAAATTTGTGGCATTGTCACAAAACAAATTTTTACAGTGTCCTCTTCGAGCAACAAAACGTTTCAGCGATCCGATGAATGCATCTGTGGTTAAATCGCTGACTACTTCGAGATGAACTGCCTTAGTTGTAAAACAACAGTACACAGCAATGTATGCCTTGTGTGGTTTTTTGCCTCGGATTCTGTAATGTATCCAAAAAGGTCCGCAAAAGTCCACGCCAGTGGTGAGGAATGATCGCCCAGGTTGTACTCTTGTCGCTGGCAAATTACCCATCAGTTGTTCATAAAATCGTGGTCTTACTTTAGTACAACGTACACAATGTTGTACTACTGACCTTGCCATCAATTTGCCCTTAATTGGCCAGTATCGTTGACGCATGTTAGCTAGGAGAGACTGCGGACCACAGTGCATGTATTTCTTATGGACTTGTTCCATTATTAATTTGACAATGGGGTCGTTATAAGGCAACAACATAGGATGTTTGGCGTCATACGATAATGAGGCTGCATCCAACCGTCCAACAACTCTTATGATGCCTGTATTATCAATAAAAGGTGCCAGTGATGCCAATGCACTGGACTTATTTATTCTTCCATCAGATTTCATAATTTTGATTTCATTTTTAAATTCTGCATATTGAATGCTTTTGATGATGACCTGATGTGCTGCATCTAGATCATCTGGAGTCAAAAAATTGCTTGAATGATCATTTTGTTTTCTTCTGATTCTTTTTACGAATCTTAAAGTATACGATAATATCCGTTGAAGTCTTCCAAATGAGTTGTTGTGTCTTATTGAATATATGAACTCTCCAGGATTTGCTGTGCCTTCAACAACAGACAATGTAGATACTTGAGTTTCCTTCTTCCGTTCAGGATCAATGAGGGTTTCGGATTTTAATGCTGATGATGGTTTTGAAGGCCACAGTTCTTCCCGACCATGCAGGAACATAGGTCCATAAAACCACATACTTGATGACTGTAGTTTATGGGGTGCAAGGCCTCTTGATAAAATGTCAGCTGGATTGTGTTCCGAACTGACGTGGCGCCACTGACTTGTGGCTGTTAATTGATGAATGTTGCTTACTCTGTTTGCAACGAAAGTGTGAAATTTTGATGATGGAGAGTTGATCCATGATATCACACCAAAAGAACGTCTGGTAATTTCTTATTTGTAGATCGTTCTTTATTCTTTTTGCTAGTTCTGCGCCAACTACAGCTGCACAAAGTTCAAGACGAGGTAATGTCAACCTTTTCAAAGGTGCAACTCGAGATTTGGCGCACAATAGTCGTACAATAATTTGACCATTCTGAAGTGTTGATCGCATATACGCTGCAGCACCATATGCCTTTTCTGATGCATCTGTAAAGATGTGTAATTGAATGTTGGCAGGAACTTCACCCTTGAAAATATGACGAGATATCTGCAGACAATTTACTTTCGTCAAATTGTTCCGGAACACTAACCACTGTTTATGTAATTCAGTCGGCAGTTTTTCATCCCAATCCATTTTTAAATTCCATAATTCTTGAATAAAGATCTTTGCCATCACCACAACTGGTGACAAAAGTCCTAGTGGATCAAATAGCCTTGCTAAATCTGAGGTTGCACTGCGCTTCGTCGTGCTGCAAACAGGTTCCAATTTAACCTTGACGCATAAACTATCAGATTTTGGACACCAGGATAACCCAAGAGTTTTTGTTGTATCGTTATTATTTTCTAAATCTAAATTGACTTCTAAGTCATCGTGTGGAATTCCTTGTAGTAGACTTGGATGATTTGCGCACCATTTTCGCAATTTAAAACCGCTTGCTGTCAGTATTTTGTTTAATTGACTCTGAGTTTCCAACAATGTTCTCAGACTATCTGCGCCGTGTAAACAGTCATCTACATAGAAGTTTTGTTTGAGAGCAGATGCACCTAATGGATAATTTTGCATATTGTCATCAGCTAAAACTTGCAAACATTTGGTTGCTCGATACGGTGCTGATCTAGTACCATATGTTACTGTGTTGAGTTCAAAGTACTTTATCGGTTGACTTGGTTCATTTCTCCAAACGATAAGCTGACATTGTCTGTCTTCTGGATGTACAAGTATTTGTCGGTACATCTTTTCAATGTCTGTTGTAAACACATAACGAGGAAGACGGAATCGTAATAAAATAGATAGTAATTCACTTTGAACAGTTGGTCCGGTGTGTAGTAAATCGTTGAGAGATTGCCCTGATGTTGTTTTGGATGATGCATCAAATACCACACGTAACTTGGTGGTGGTACTATCAGGTTTAAGCACACAATGGTGTGGTATAAAGTAATGTGGTGACATAATCCTTTCAATATCTATTTCGGTCATATGTCCCAATTTTTCATATTCATCTAAAAACTCTACATATTGTCGTTTGAGATGACTATCCTTTGAAAGTCTACGCTCTAGTGCTAGAAATCTATTTGTAGCAATGTCTTTCGAATCTCCCAAAGCGAATCTGTCATTTATAAAAGGAAGACGAACGATGAATCGTCCCGTAACATTCTGATATGTAGTTTGAGTGAATTGAGCTTCACATTGTTGTTCTGCTATTGACAAGACCTTTGAGTGAGTATCAACTTCTTCAACCTTCCAAAGTTGTTCTATTGCGTTTTCCAAACTATCTTCTGATGCTATTCCACATGTTGCAATCATTGTGTTAGCATTTTGGATTTTTCCAGATACGATCCATCCGAGCACAGTGTTCTGTAGAATTGGTAGTTCCCTTGAAAGTTGTATTTGACCAGGACTTAGGAGTTGATGATAAAATTCTGCTCCAAGCAACATATCAATTTTGTCAGACTTATAGAATGTAGGATCTGCTAATTGGATGTTATTGGGCAGATTCCAATTTGAAATTTGTAAGTGTTGCGATGGTTGATTGGATACAATTTTTGGCAACACAAATGCTTCAAGTATTGTTTTGTAATCGGTCACTTTTGATTGCACAGAAAGTGTTGTACGACTTTTTGAACTCAATTTACCTATCCCTATGCCTTCGATGCAAATCGAACTAGAGCTTACTTGCAGCCCCAATCTGGATGCCAATCGTTCAGTCACAATATTTATTTGTGAACCTGAATCCAGTACTGCTCTGCACTCGACTGTTCTTCCATTAGAGTTGGAGGCTAAAAGTTTTGCTGTTCCTAAAAGAACGCAACTGGTATGACCACGATTGATGGATGACATTAGAGTTGTTTGTGCAAATGGCCTTGAAGTGTTTTCAACTGACGTATGATTTGATGGTTGAACTGGGTGTCTATTTTGATGCAACAGTGTATTATGTCTTCTTTGGCATATAGTACAACCCCTGCTGGAGCATTGTAATGCCATATGACCAGGTTT